TTCGACGTGACAAATGGCAGATATATCGATAGCGCTGCCGTCAACGGACTTTTAAATTATGACTTGCCCGTCTAGAGTCATCCTTCATTAAAATAGAACGAAGAAACACGAAGATCTTTGTACGTACTTAGGATACGTAACTGCTTATGCACATATTGTCCACGTGTCTTCTTCTATTTCTTCTGAGTTAAAACGAGTATCGATATATGGTGATACCTAGAACATGACAGTCTACGTTCAACGAGAGACAAAACGGGAATTTTATCGTTCGATCGAGTCGCACTTGTACGTGATCTTCCTCCTCTTCCTCCTCTTCCTCCTCTTCCTCCTCCTCTTTCTCCTCATCTTACTCCTCCTTCGCGCCTTTCTTAAAGTTAGACGACTTCTCTTACGGGGCACAATTAATTGCGACGTCACGCTGTGCCAGACGCGAAGCACACTACTGCTGTTGCTGTTGCTGCTGCCGTTGCCGCTGCTGCTGCTGTTGCTGTTGCTGGTGTTGTTGTTGCTGTTGCATCTTGACTAGAAAGGTTTACCCTTGTTGAGAAACAAAAATCGTTCTGCTCGAAAACGATCCAACGAGAGAAAGAAAGAAAAAAAGAAAGAAAGAAAGGAAAAAAGAGAGTAAGATTGTCTTTGGAATAATTTGAAGATCAGAATTACCAGGTAAAGAATGAAAAGAATAGGTAGTGAGAAACTTTGAGAAGAGAAGAGTAGTAGTGGCAATAATAATAATAATAATAATAATAGTAGTAGTAGTAGTAGTAGTAGTAATGGTGGTAGTAGTAGTAGTAGTAGTAGTAGTAGTGGTGGTAGTAGTAGTAGTAGTAGTAGTAGTAGTGGTGGTAGTAGTAGTAGTAGTAGTATTCGATCATGGCAACAGTTTTGACACGAATATGGCTTTCTTTCGCGATTTCGATCCGCTCGTTACATCGAGCGAGTAGGTTGGATTATCCGTGACCGACACCTGGAGGAATGCCTCCTTTTCAAGGACGCCGAACAACGGATATGCGCGTAGTCATCCTCGATTCCTTTCTCTTTCTCTTTCTCTTTCTCTCTTTCTCTTTCCCTCTCTCTCTCTCTCTCTCTCTCTCTCACTCTCTATCTGCCTCTATCTCTCTCTCTCTCTCTCTCTCTCTCTCTCTTTCTCTCTTTCTCTTCCTATCTCTCTCGCTTCTCTTTTCGTCTTCTTTCTTGCCACATTCGGGAGTCGCTCTGCTCTCTTCTCACAGCGATATCGTTGCCGTTAAGGCGGCTCGAAAACCGATTGGACACACACCGTCGCTCCCCCACGGTTCGCTTCTCAATCGTTCGAATATTCTTCCTTCGAACAGGTTGTTCAAGAACTGGAGCATGAGTACTATCGAGACGTTATTTAAGTTATTCACGATGTATATGTCTTTTACGTCTTTTCTTTAATTCCTTATAATTTGGGAAATACATTGAAACGTTTAGTTTGTTAATCGATCTTTTAAAATAATCTTTGTCATTATGACAAAGTATTTACGAACAATGTCATTTTAATAAATTTGTATGTAAGCAATGTCGAGTCTAAAAATTGAGATTTATGTCATTGCATTGAGATTCATAGATTGTACCTTTTATTCTTGTTTTATTTTTTTGCTCTTGTTTTGTCATTTTTTCGCTCTTCTTTTTTTTTTTATAAACATATACTTAATTTTATATTTTTCTTATTCTCATGATCTTCATAATATTTATTGGGATTTTTGCGTATTTAAGGTTTCATGATATCTCGTTTTTTTTTGTTTTTATTTAAAGGCAGATTCGTAGCGTAAATCGATGAGTTTTCTAATAGATTAGTCTTTGTTTAAAAAAAAAAAAAAAAAAAAAAAAAGGAAAAAACCAAAGAAAGAAAAAAAAAGAAAAATCAATGATTTTTGAAAAGGTCTTTAACCGGTGACTGGTCGATATCACCGAACCATGCCACACGCGTTTACCCTTAGGAAGCTGATTGTTCATTCAGGAGTACGTTAAGTACGAGAGATCGGATAATTCCAATCGTAATTGAAGAGGAACACGGCCATCGTTTCGTCCTCTCTTAAGTCCATCCGTTCGAGAATTAAGAGAAATCAGTTGGAATAACTCGAAAATTTGATGCTCTCGAGAATTCGAAATGTTTCTACGTTTACGTAATATCTCGTATTCGATCATTAGCTTCTAACCATTACGAAACTCACCATGTCATAATTATATCTATGTAATCACATTTTACAACCTCTTCATAATTGTCCACATGGATATAATTTATAATGATTTTTTAAAGATATCTTCGTGTCTTGATTGTAAATACTTATATAAATAAATATATATTTTTATATAAAATACGTTCGATTTTTACCAAAGAAAAAAAAAAGAAGACACCTATATATATGTATGTATGTATGTGTAAATTATTTTTCATTCCATATACATACATTTCGTATGAACCAACAATTTGAATGGTATTCACAAATTCCTTAGAACTCCTTTTTCGTTCTAAGGAAAAAAAAAAAAAAAAGAAAAGAAAAAAAGAAAAAGAAAAGAAAAGGAAAAGAAAGAGAAAAAAAATTATTCATTTTCATAAAAGAATATCCCCGGACAGT